CTCAAGTTTTCAGCGAGCTGAACTGCACATAAAGTGGGAGAAGCACAAACTCAGGTCAAGTCGTTGGTGGCTTCTCCAGCGTCTAATTTATGAACCTGTAAAGTGATTTACGGGTTTAAATTGGAGTAATTGGCCTCGAGTTTAGCTTCCGTCGCGTCGGATGGCATGAGAGCTGGTAAGGCTGCTTGTGGCCTAACTGGTTGGTGTCATTTGCATTAGACGGCAGCTACCCAAGCACTCTCAAGATAACAAAGCACCTTTAAATTTTCGTGTTTAGCTTCTGTCTTTGTGGCTTTCCATCTTTGTGTAGGCATTTTCCTCTGCAATTGCTACTTGGATGTTAAATGTCCCGCTACTGCACCGAAAGCTGATGAAACCGACCGATGGTCGCATTTCCAAGCTCTAATTTATTAGCGGTGAGGTGATTCAAGCATCATATTTCGATGAATTGAATAGTAGTTTAGTTTCTGTCTGCAGCCTGGAAATTATTCTGCACTCTGTGGTTTGTCATGGAAAGATGCAAATGCGACCTCTAATCGGGGTTGGCCGACTAATTTACATCACGCAATTTGCACATTTTTACATCGAAAATTGCAACTTGATTCCGGTATAAACGCTGACGGATTCGGTGACACTAAACTATAGAAAATCTGTTTCTGTTTAACTACAGTACTCAATAGACGCACAAAACATCTGCTATTTTAGTACTCAACAAATTTGCACTAACTTTAAAAGGGCATAAATTCTGATTGCTCCAAGCGATTTGGTCTGATACGGTTTTTGTTGGTCAATGTTTTGGTGAGAATTACGCACCCCCGATAAATTATCTACAGGGTCGCAAATGAAAAAATGCAAAGTTCCGGCAAGTTCGACATGCTCCTGGTTCCTTCCGGAACTCAAGGTATAAGCACTTAAAACGATGCCCTCAGAAACGTTTTTCCCCCTGTGACTGATTAATTTTGAATTTCCTGCCCAAAATATAAAGCGCTATTCTATTCTAATTAACCAATCTGAAATTCCCTTTATTAAACGCTTGCCTAAAGCAAGTATGAGTAAAGCAATCCCATACCAAATCCTTAGGCTTAAATTCACATAGAATTTTGTGGCACTTCCGTTTGCTCTAATTGATTGAATATTATAACCCTTTTCCGCATATGTATTTGAAATATCTAACGTTCGAAATGTTACTGGCCGGTCTCTCGGTTGCGGTTCTTAATAGAATTCGCCAAATATTATTTATAACTAAACGGTAAACTATCTGAAACAATTTAATCGCCGATTCAAGTTTGAATGGAATTCAGCTGTGTTTAATCATTTGAATTAGGTACGTCTACATTTTGAGATAGCCGGCAATTTTTGTATTGTTTTAGTTTACTTAGAGGCTACTTAATTTGATTAAATGTTAAGTCTAGTGGAAACATAGTGAATGTTCTGTTGAAAGTTTCTAGCTTAACGCAGAATTCACTGGAGACCATAGTTTAGGCAAATTATTCGAGTGCATTGAAATGAATAAAGTATAATACGATATCGTACATGCAACAATTGAGGAAAGTTGAGCTTTTGATTAAAGTCGGTAAATAATTGAAACTTTAAGCGTGGCCCCTGCCACGGTTAAAAAACGATTTTAATAGATAGTTAGATGATAGATGATGATTAAGATCGGAGCCCGATTGCCATTTTTGAGGTGCAAAACACAGTTGAGCTGTTTCGCTTGCAACTAACAAATCGGCAAATATTGCGTGTATAAATTCTTGAAATGATAAATGGAATTCACTATTATTTGCCTTTTAATAGTGAAAAATGAGTGATGAAGTAAGGAGTAGGTAGCATAATTACCTTGTTATGTGTCTTGCAATTTCACTGCTCATAAATCAAAAATTCTGCAAAAAGGTTGCGATAGTAGATTGATAATATTCTTGACAGTGCAAATTTTCTCCTCTATTACTGGATAATTCAATTATTAATTTGCTGTTTCAATTTTTTTGTTTCATGCGCCAGATCCGTAGCAACTTGTTTCTTTAGAACTTTGTTCTGAAATATGAACCGTCAGGTCACAAAAGCCGGCAATCGCTGGAGTGGAACACATTATTTGTATGCCTAAGCATCCGAAAAAATGTATGTATTTGTGGAGTGCGGTGAATACGAAGAACGGCATATCAATTTAATAAATCCGCTCAGAATTGGTTTCCAAACCCTAGCGATGATGTAAAAGAGATCCCGGATCTCACTGAACCATCAAACAGTAAACAAATGATTTCGAACAGAAGAAGGAATACAAAATACAACCAATACCGGTAATCAGCTATTTGCAAATAACCTTTTTCAATTGCTTTGAGTTTTAAGCATTCTTGTCGAGTGGAAGCGTTTGGAATGTATTTGAATGAAAACTAGACTAATTATCATTCATTATACTTCCGAAGGGAATTAACGTCATGCAAGATATGTCACTAAAACAAGTTATTCCTCTGGTCCGCCTTAAGTTTCCAGCAACAGCAATTGGGCTGCACTTAAAACAACTGAGGCCAAGTAGTTGGTGGCTTCTTCAACGACCGATTTATTACAGGGTGACGAGATTCACGAACCGTAATTGCAGTAATTGGCCCCAGTTCAGCATCCGACTAAGAGCTTCTCAGGATGTTTGCGGTATGCAGGGTTAGATGACAGTGTCACATGCATTAGAGGGCAACTTTGGTAACTGATTACGCAAGACCGTGCAGCTTTGAAAAGGTTCTCAGTTTCAGCTGCTGATGTGTTAATATTTAATAAGTCAAGCAACTTTGAATTACTTTGTGCATGCATGAAGCTCGACTGTCAAGCTTAATCCAGTTAGCAATGGCTGTACCAAACAGCAGCCAGATATGTTAATATTAATATTTGGTTCCCATTATATTTAAGTCACCTTGGTGCCAATGTTTGATCCATGTCGCGCGCCCTGCTGGCTGCGAAGGGTCTTCTAATTCGAGCTTCTCTCTTCTCATATCCTTCTACTCTACTGGCAATAAACTTAATAATACGTAAAATCACTGCATTTAAATATTTCTCTCTACCACTGAATTATTCGATTTACGTGTACCAAATTTACTGAACTTTTATCGTGTTTAAAAATGTTTAAAAACAATGTTCTTTCGGGTGCCTCTTTAAAGATTACTTCTCGATTCAGTCCTAGAAAGAAATAAATAAGTCAGTGAGATTTCATATTGCATCAAAACCCGAGAATTAAAAATACAACAGTGTAATATTTTTAACGCTCAGGATTACAGTCGAAGCAGCATTATTCATTTTTGCACATACACCCACTAAGAACATACAAACTAGCCCTTCACCGAAAATATCCCCCTGAATCGGCTCTGCTTCCCGCATGTAAACTTTTCTGTGTAATGGACTGGAAACATTATTCTGGATCTCATCTCAGTTTTGATTAAATGCTAATAGCGCAAGAGATGGATGGACAATCCTTGTAATGAAAACATAGAGAAGGGAACTGAGAAAATACATTCTGGTTTGCGTGGTGCAGAAGATGAATCTTTAAACTTTATTAGACAGTAAGTTATACGTTGTGTAGCTAGACACTTCTAGCAGGTGGAAAATTGCAGATTAAAACTGTTTTGTTGGACGTATGCTATCTGTCGTTAATGTCCTTCCCTGCCACGTTTACTAAAAGGTTTTCAGGACATCCAAAAGTTTTTGTACATTTTGCAAACATAGTGATCACCAAAGCAGAATGTATCGTGCATGAATATGTATCAGCACCCTATTCACAGTTAGGGATTTGGAAGTTTATAAAGCTCGGAACTGAAAGCTCATATGCGAAATGATTGCTTTGAAATAATATCTTTTTCAGCCCTTGCCGTCGCATCTGCGGCACTAAGAAAATTGGCTTGGTACAATATAGGCTAAACAATTTTGCGAAATTTGTTACTACTAGAAACAGCAATATAATAAAGCTGGAAATGTACATATTCAAATTTAGTTAGAGCAGTAAGTTCTACTATGACGGCACACAATCCCAAGCAAATATTTGCATTTACTAAAATTAAACAAACATGTTATTATAATCTTCAACATAAATACGCTCTCGATTTCAAGCTCAAACGTCTAAGAATTAAGGTGTGAACGTCAGACTTAGGGGAGGAAATGTGGATGAAAATAAGTAAACCTCCAAAGTGTTATTGGCCAAACCAACTCATTCGTATGACTAATTAATAATATCCGCATGTTATTTCCTAATCAAGGCACAAGACAAGATTTAATGTGAACATTTGAAGAAGCGCGAATTGCCATTTTCGTGGGGCCCACACAACATATTCCCACTTTCAGATTCGAAAACAGTATTATAACTCGAAAGCTTGTTAAGGTTTTTTTATTCGGAAAAGAAAAACAGTTTTGCTTTTTTTCCAATGCCGTTCACCTGATGCAAACAAATATTTGCACTATTCGTACATACAACTGTATATATTCGATGGAAATCGAATCGAAATGCGTTTTATCATTTTTATTATTAAAAATAAACAGTTCCATGTTTAGTTCTCTTTCATTTCAATGTTTTGCGAAAACATCGTAACGAGTTGCGTGCTTTTGTTTTTAGTTTGCAGGTAAAAATACAGGGCATTTAAGGATTTCCTGGATATTATCAACTAATTGCTCATGTTAAAATGTCAGGGAAATAATATTTGAAAACAAAACGACCAAACTTGTCAGGGTTTGAATAGGTGGGATTCCAATAGAGGTTGTGAAGTTGGTGCAAATATTTTTTTATTATGAGTGTAATTTTTTTTTGTATTTTCCTTCGTCCACCATCTGAGTTTCCGCGGCGTTTGAAGCGATGGTTCAATTTTAAATAAAATTATTCAAGTTTTTTGAGGAATCAGAGGAAAATTTTGGACAAACCTAATTAGCAAGTTTTTTTGTTTTTCCATAATTAGTAATTTTTTCTGTGTTTTCAAAAGTTTTTCTTGGGTTCAAAAAAAATTGCTTTACACAATACAAACTCGTTCCCTTACCATAAGCACCAAAATAGCCGCCACTGTGAGCAGTTGAAACAACAAAAACCAAAAAAAGTTTACGCACGAACATCGCGAGTTTGTTCGGAAAAGCCATCGTAACTTTGAAAACTCTGGAGCGACACGTGCCGTTCTTTCCGGCAACCGCGAAAATTCTGACGAAAATCCGGGACTACGGATTGCATTTAAAGCGGCGCAGAATCATTGAAACCACGTGCTTTTTGGAGATCCAGACGTTATATTGTTCGCTAGGATCGTAGATTCTTGTTTTAACAATGAAAAAATATTACCCTTGTTAGCGGTGGTGAGTTATGTAAACGGCCATCTAGCAGAGTAGAGGCTTTTCGGCCGTTATTATGGACTACATTTATGTGAAGCCTATAAAAAATGAGGAAATATAGAGCGAAGAACTCTGCCCATGAACACGCAATTCATCGACAAGCCAGAATAAAATTAATCGGTCAGTTATTAGCTAAACATCCCCGAAATGTTCAACGTTTGTGTCATTGTAATGAAGCTAAAGAAAGTCGTCGTTTATATTTAAGCATAAATAATCGTCGGAGAGTTGGTTGAATGAATGGGACAAATGAAAAGGCACAATTAGCCCTGATTCCTTAAAAACTATTGGTAACTAAAACCCGAGCAAATGAAAGGAGCCGGTGCAGTGGTAATCAGTAAAAGCATTCAGTCTATTGTGAACAGTCTATACAGGTTTACAAAGGATCTTTGCCATTGCAAAAAGTCAGCCCGATTCAGTTCTTTAAAGTTACTGAAATGTTCAGTTTTCCATTGATTTTCCCATTTAATGTTTGCGCAATTTATAAACGACTTCTATTAAAGAATTCATGTACGAATCAAAGCTCTACTAATGTGATGCAGTTTCCTTTTTCACTAAGGAAATTCCTTGTATATTTCACCGCAATTTAAAGGGAGATTCCTGAAATGAAATTCACCGTGTGTTACTAAAAGATCTGAAAAAGTCAAGAACTCTCGACTAAAGTACAACTTCCGCCAGAAACTCAACTATTATAAGACATCGCGGTAAAAAGAGCGAAAAATGAAATATCCCGAAAGAAGCATGGAGATTACATCCCATATGGTAAATTTATGGGGGGCGCCGGAACAGTTGCTCTGCCCGTTACATTGTAAATAAGCACTAATAACTGAACTACTTTGCAAAATTAAACCTACTGACAGATGCAGCTGTTTTAGTTACCGTTATGTTTTCAGCTCATTTTCAGTAGCGCACATACCTTTTAAACAAATTTTTGCAATTTTAACCCTGCAAATTCACTATAACACTGTACCCTATTTTTTGTTAAATAATTAGCATTCATAACGCAATTAAAAAGAGTATGCTGTTCGACAAGATCAACTGGACAACTGTTTTTATGTGTATTTTTGATAGTCTTCCAGATAAAGTGTGTCCGATCAAAAGTCAGTATGCCGCGAGTCTGAAGCAAATTAGGGCAAAAAGATCGGCAATTACATCGATTTCAATTGTTGTTTGTCTTAATTCGAAAAATAAAATTTTGATAACCGTTTTTTTAACGCGGCGCCAAAGTAACACAGGGAAACGTTGATTTGGAAGCATGAATTTACTTTGAGATTAATTAAATTAAAAATCGAAAATTCCACTCCACTTCAAATAACTCTAAGACAAACAATTATATGAACTTTTTTCCCTTTTTACAACCAAACTACTAGAAGAACAGTCATTTGAGTACACGGTCAAATGTCGACTAATTTTCGAACCGTATAGATTCTGATTGCTGCCAGCTATTTGCTATCTGTTCAAACGGTTCTTTAGTGCAATTATTTTTCAGTTAGTGCATGTTTTTGCTCACAATTGTTGCTTCACATAAAGTTGCTACGGGCTACAGGGTGGCAATTGAAACAGTGCAAAATCGGTGAAAGTTCCACATGCTCTTGGTTGGACAAAACACGTTTTTTTCTATTTCTCTAACGTTGTTGAATTTGTCGACCATCTCGTTTATTTACATAGTGGTCCAAAAAAAATCAACTTGTAGGCCTTGCAGTGAAAAAAATATTTTTCTTGAACATCTTTTGAAAATCTAGAGCTCATATTGAAGCTAAAACTTCATAGTCCAATTGAGATGAAAACAATGCCAATACGGCGGATTGCATGAATGAATGAAATATTTGAAAGTAATTTAGTTGAAAATCTTCCAGAATCAAATATTTCGGGGGCAATTCTGGTTTGGGTAGTTTTTATGCCACCATGTATATTAAATTTTATTATCTCGTAACAATCGGATCAAGAGCAAAAAGTTAACGCTGCAAGACCAAAAAGTTGATTTTTTTAAGCCACCCTGTAAATAGAAGGGATGGGCGAACAATTCGACAACTGTTTCCAGCAATTTTATCTTTAAACTTTTGGTGTTGAGATCTAAAAAAATATTTTTTGTCCAACTAAGAGCATGCCGATGTTTCCGCAATTTCACATTTTTTCATTGGCCACCCTGTATAAAATTTGGTCTTAGATGTTCAATTTTTGCTAAATCTTGAGCTGACAGAAAACGAATGGGGCTAAATAACGCTTCAAACAGAAACCAAATCGCTCCAAGCAATCAGAATTTATCCAGTTACAAAGTTAGGGCAATTTTGGCTGTGTAACGTTTATTTTAGTGAGCAGTTTAAATTACAATAACTCTTTGCAATTGACACCATGATTATCGCTTGGAATTAATGGAACATGTTTTAACTTTTTTCCCAACTGGGTTCTCTCACCTCTTATGCATTATATTATGAGATTTACCACCAAAGGATCAAAAATTTTCTAAATGTTAGGGCTACTTAGTAAAAACTTTCGCATCCTCGCTGGCTAGGTATAAAACTTCGAAAATAACGAAGAAGAAAACTCTAAGCCGCAAATCCTACTTAACTCAAAAGGCTTTATAATTTTCATCCCTACTGTTTTGTTGCGGCTAATAAATGTTTCTATATCGTTGTACATTCTTGTCATTTCTTTGTCATAAAACCTTGCGGCAAATAAAATTGCCCAAGTGAATAAGAATGAAAGATGTGTACGTTCAGCAGTTTATGCCCTTTTTTAGTGATTTCGCTGAATATCAAATGCGTTGATAAACACATTGAAATTGAACCGTTGTTTTCTCAATTTCCTCATACGTTTCCCAAACAAATCGCAAATGGATTTTAAATATCAATTTAATTTATGAGATTGCCTACAGTTACGAAGAATGCTATTTCGACAACTAGAAACACAACACACTAAGCCAAATTTATACCAGACATGCAATGTATATCGAAAAAATAAATTGCCTTGGCAGCCAACCAATTTATCCGGTTTGAGATGTTTTATCTTTTGGGCTGGTGCGTGAATCCCATTTTCTACGATACTTTACGTAAAAAAGCCATCCTATTTTCATATATTTGCCTTTTATTCGATGCATTCTTGGTGTACACAAATTTGTCATGAGCCAGGGCTCCCAGATGCCTAAATCAGATTCGAGGAGTCTCTTAGTAAATTATTTATGAGGCTGAGAGATAAATTGCTGAAAAAGGAGCTTAGATGAGCGATTGTGCTTAAAAGCTAACGTAAGACGATCGGATTTCGTTCGTTTGCGGATCACAATTTTTACGTGGTTACGAGATAATTAAATTTAGATGATTTCCACTTTTGAACCAGACGTGAAAGCTGTCTCTATATTAATTAATTGTTCATAAAGTTGGTGATAATGCTGATCTATTGTAGATGAAACTACTGAAAACCCTCATCCGATACATAAAAGTCCCAATGTATTATGAACCCTAACCAGCAATGAATGGAAATAATCTGGACGCTCCCTGCACCTGACAATGCAATACATCTAATCTAAACTACCCTTTCACTTCCAACTCGAATTCAGACAAAAAGCTGACACCTCATTTAATCACGTGTTAGAGTTTAATTAAAGTACGTATCCAAACACCGCCGTATACCACCAGGGCAGAAACTACACTCAAGAAACATTTTAACTAACGTTTCACCTTGTGCAAACTTTCAAGGCACGTGAAAAGTTTATTTATACTCTACATTTTTCGCGCTTTACGTTTCTATCTATTACAGTTGGAAACTTTCGCTAATAAATGCCTTTTAAAGCGTGTGTATTATCGGAACTCGAATGTGAACAGCGATAGTGAATGGAAACTGTAACATCTCAATGGAATTGCTTGAACAAGCGTCTATTACATATTTCAGTAACCCAATAAAATCTAAAAGTCATTCCACTTAACCAAATGTTCGTTAATGAAAGAAGAGCTCATAAACGGTTTATATTTTACTACGTTATAATATACCTTTGCGGCAAGAGCCTACATAATATGCGCTGTAAAGAATAAGAATGGAGAAAATATGTAAATTTATGAAAATTAAATTAGGGGAACATTTCACACTCCAACACTTTCCATTTGTATTCGGAAATTTTCGGAGCAACATAGTTTAGGTATTTTAAACAGCAAGGGTTAAATGAGAATTAACTCTAATAATTCAGCAATTAAGTGGCCAATATCACTCGCAAAGCCCTAACTGGCCTGTAAGTCATTAAAGAGTAATAAATATTTTTTTCATCTTTTCATCTTTGTAAACCAGTTTTGCAGAGCCATTGCCAAAAATCTGTAGCAGTCAAACAATTAGGAGGGATGCATCTTTATCAGTTCGTTAGGGCAATTGAGGAAAAGAACTTAATTAGGTCTGCAGCTGCGAAAAACCTTTAACGGTAACTGAAACCAAAGCAGAATGAAAGAAAACGGTGCAGTCGTAATCTGAAAAAGGATTCAGTCTATTGTGAAAATTGTATAATGGATTACAAAGCGCCATTGTGGCCTAGTTGAAGACCAATATAAAAACACGTGGTTGATTTTTTTAAGTAGAATTTATCCACTAACACCTTACTAATTGTTTACCAGTGGTATGAGCAAATGACCAAGTAATAAGAGTTGCATTTTGGGGCGACAAATTCGACAAATTTTCACCCATTTTAAGCTGTTTTTAAATCGGCACGATTTTGAAGCGACGATATCTGATGTCGTCCTCAAACGATCTTAAGCAAAATAATTTTAATGCCACAACCCATTAGGTTGAACTCGTTGAGAAAATCTCTAATGAAAATTGGGCAATTACTTACACCTGAACTTTCCAGATTTTTTAGGCCTAACGAACTTCGAAACTTAAACAAGTTAGCTCAATACCTATTAGTAAATTATCTTGACGGCAGTTCTTTCTTAATTTTCTTTCTCCCTACCGTTTTCAGCGTCAAAATAACTCAGAGGTCCCCAAAGGAAACGATTCTTGACGGTTTCCTCTTCGGAAGTGGACGTAATCGTCCCCCACAGAGCCGTTGCTCCGTTCTGCTAGTCTGGGTCCAGTGCCAAAAACGTTCATTTTGGCATTGTTTCTTGATACTATTTCTAAAAATCTGTTTTAACCTAGTTCATCTGTGATCGATTTTTTCATATTTAATTTTATTTCAACCTTTCCTGCATCATCCACTTGAAAAGAGTCAAAGAGAAATGTTTCATTTACCATACACTAAAATTTTCTGAAATATTCACAAAACTAATTGGATATCAGCCGAAAGTTCAGTTACATAATCGAAGGTGTAAATATTTTAATTGCCGTAAATCGACCCTCTTCCTCGTCAAATCCTATAACGCGATAGATAATGATATGAGATTGACAAATTCCAGCAAATAGCTACGCCTAAATTAATAACGAAGCAGTTTATTAATTTTAAGAGCATGCAATATTAACCTCCATTATGCTAAATCAGATTCGATACATGTTTTGATTCGGTTATTCTATTATTTATCAGTGACGCCGAATGTATCAATTTCAAAGTTATTTAGGTGGAAAATAACGTTCGTATAATTTCATTTAGCAATTATGATTAGCTAGATGTGTTGGGAATTCAATGGGAAACGGGAGATAGAAGT